TTCCCCCCGCGTTAGGCTCCCCCCGCGCCAACAAGTACTTCCCCGCCCCCCCCGTTCCCCTCTAGCCCCTGGCTAGAACCCGCCTTCCTTTACTACTGACGCTAATTATAAAATAATGATAATTTTTAATAATAATCAAATATCTGATATACCATATATATATATATACAGGGTGGGCCATCTATTGGTACGTTTTTAAAAATGCGATCAAATGAGCATACATTGATATTTTTTATTAATTTTTTTTTTGTTGTGAAGCTAAAAGTATCCGCGTCAAGAATGAAAAACGATTTCGTTCATGTGGCTCCCTCTACTGGCCTTACAGTATGCCATTCGGTCACCCCAATTATTAATGACATTTTGGACTACCTCGGCGCCAATTTCACTCAAAACAGTCGTAATATTGTTTTTCAAAGCTGGAATTGTCTCACACTTTGGGCCACAGCCTCAATATTCTCGGGTGTGCGCACTGTCCGAGCTCTGGGACCACTTCTGTCATCCACTAACATCCCTTTCTCACGAACTTTCCTCACCAATTTGCGTATAGCTCCTTCGGTGGGTGCTCTATCACGACCCATATTTCTTTTCAAAATTCGTACAGTTTCGGCGACACAGCACTGACTTTGAAAATAAGTTTTTAAAATTTCAAAACGCTCTTCAAGAGAAAACATGTTGTTTCGTGCCGCGGACGGTATGACTAATAAACTGTCAAAATTTCGGGTCTGTAGCTCGTTCGGTGTTGCCATACGACGAAATTCAAAAACGTACCAATAGATGGCCCACCCTGTATATATAAACCTTGAACGTTCCAACTCTATTTCGAGTCATCTTCAGCAAAACTTTTCTTCCATTAAAACACAAATGATATTGCATCGCAATAAATAATATCTTCACAATTCCTGCATGCGTTATTTAGCTAATCATGAGGTGAGACCCATACTCAAACAGTTACAAAGCTAAGTGGTAGTGAACAGCTCAGACTAAAATTAAAAATTTATTATCAGTACATGTAATTGCACACATTTGCACACATTCAATACAACATCCATCTTATAATTTTTTGGAAACGAAAAATAGTATTTAAACTCGTCAACATATTTTAGATTTGAGAATATAAAAAAGAACACAATGTGTGTTGTCGATAATAAGTTTGGTCAAATAATGAAAATCCATAACACAAAATCCATAACATGAATACATTGCGGTCAAATTATCATTTTAATAAACACTTATTATAAAATTTCTCAGTATCCAGAACCTCAACATTATCCCTATCGAAATTATGTCCACACTGCACCCTATGATCCGTAATAATTGATTTTGACAAAGCATTACTGACAATCTGTTTTCTGTGTTCCGAAACTCTAGTTTTCAGTTTCCTGTCTGTCTGGCCCACATAGGATACATCGCAGTCACAACATTTTATCTTATATACAATGTTCTTTTTTAATTCAACTGGTAAATTTCTTATATACTAATTAACTGATAAAGTGATTTGCAATCGTTGCGATTGGCTTAGCGCCGAAACACTACCGTGTCTCCTGATGAATTTTATATGGAATCAGTATATATAATATTAAGTTCGCTTTCCATTATAAAGATTGTTCTTCTTTGGACACTATAACTAGCATAGCACAAGGTAAATAAATTTTATTAAAAGAATTTTAATAAATTTTATAATTGCAAGTTAACAATTAAAAGTAAATAAAATTTATTCATTGTTTATATTTTATTTCGTTTATTAATATTTCAGTAACAATTGATTTAATAAAATTTGTATTATCATACAATATTTTCAACGTTTTTGTATAATCTCGCATTATAAACTTTTTAATCATGCTATTATGTAATAATATCATTCTTATTGTATTTTGAACAACATTTATAATTGTATCTTCTTAAATATACTAGAATTACTCGTTAATTGTGTGTGTGGATAAATTTTTCTCATTAACTACACCCGCAGAATATTTTGTTGATCAAACATCTTTTTGTTAATTATTGAAGCATTTCGTTTCATGCATAACGTGCATATTGTTACTATTCCTTGTTGATCATTGTATTTAAACAAGGATAAATGATACATTACGTGCATCATGTACCCATAATCTATTAGGTACCCACTTACAAAGCAATATGTAACATAGAAAAATTCAAATTAATCCTATTGCTTACTTTCAAAATTTCTTTACATTTTTCTTAAAATTATATTCACGGTGAGAATTAAAAACGTTTTCTCGTCAATAATGGCATATATCACTTTGTTTCATTTTACTACACGAAACAACACAACGACATAAAACAGTACAGCATATTCACCCGATTTATGTCGACTGACACAATAATTGAACTGCTAGAGTGCGCTGAGATTAAAATTAATCATAATTTTGCAGTTAAAATTTATCGAATAAGTAGCAAATCAGACTAAAAAATATTAAACAAATTCTTTTATAATGTAATAAATAAAGTAATACTTATAATGTTATGTCCTACAGACGCCACGATTTTTTTTTTTTTTTGGTTCCACGTCGCGACTATGGTTGGTGTCTGCAAGACCCGAGCGGCGCCTTCTGATAACGGTCTGACAGAAAAGAGAGACCGGACAGGCGCCGCGAAAAACTCGTAAATGCCAATCAATCCGGAAAGAATAACAACCTTAATGTAGGCCCTAAAAGAGACAAGATTGCAGAAGACATTATAAATGCACCGAGGTCACGCAATAGAAAATCTAGGCTTTGTCATCCGAGACTGATTAACAATTTCATTTTAGAAAACAGGCGCCACGTTGCACTTAAAAAATCGTAAACGCATAGGATAACTTCCCACGGGAGCGTTATCTAAAAACAGACAATGATAGCCCTGCACATAAACCTATTTGTGCACGGTAACCATCTGTTTATCTAGCCATATTTTCCGTGAGAATAATAGAATTCGTCATCCGTCTCGGAGCAATCTTGGCTCTTTAAGAAAAACCGTAAATCACTTTCTCTTCTTTTCGAAACTACTCTAACTATGTACTTTAGATCAACAACGATAGAACGTTATAAAAATCGTAAATCCCGCGTGACATTGCAACTAACTTTTGCATGACAAAGGGCACAACGCCCTTTTTTCAGGGTATAAATAGAGGTCCCGCGGAAGCGCAGAGCGTCAGTATAGAATTTTAAACCATTCAGTCCACGTCAGTGGAGTTCGCGCTCAGTTATTCATTGTCTCGGGCAGTCCGAAAATTATTATAACCCGCGCTAATCACGCCAGTTCGCGATCCCGTCCGAGTGCGAACTTGTAATCAAATCGCAACTGAAGTTAGCCATACGCCACGACGATTGCCCTTCAGACGTTCTTCGCTGATGACGGATCTTCTTGGCTACTCGTCTAGAACCTACCCGATATCTTGGGAATAGCTATTAGGTGTTGGAATTAATTCGTAGCGTCCCGTGTTTCCCATGGAAAAACACACATTATATACACACACATACATGCATACATCCATAAGCTATAATATATATTTTTTATATAAAGAGAAGTTTATAATGTACAAAACCCTTTGTTTATTATTATTTTTCATTTTATTAATAAATGTAACTTAAGGTGTTCCCCTGTCTTTTATTGATATCACCCCTCGTCATTCACTTCCCTCGAATACCTGAGATCGCACGAGGTCCAATCCCGGGTCAAAGGATTAAGGGGATGCTGGAGTATCCTGTTTTATCATTAAATATTATATTAAAAACTCTTTTCTCGTAACTGTGTTTATGGAAAAATCCTTCTCCACAATTAAAATATCGACAACAACGCAACCACAATCTTTGCAGAAAATTTGATCGCCGTCGAACTGCGCAAACTCGAAGTGAAGTTCATCAAGTCGATTTACGTGGGTATGTGTATACGACATATCGAAAGTTTGCTTGTACGAATATCATCACGAGTATATGTTACCATTGTTCTTGCACGTCCATAAAAAGTAGAGCTGGCGAATTGCGGAAAACCTAAACGAACAATCCTATGCTTTTAGAAACGCGGTAGGAGTTTTAGTATAAGAGAAAAGCGTATCCGAAAATTTCGTTTGTATATTACAAGTGAAATTGACGTGAAGCCATGAAACTAAGCAGTATTTTAGTTCCGCGATATTCCGACAGCAGCGCTGTCAGAAAAGTGTGTCGCTGAACTATAGAAATGATCTGAATTATTGACCTACTCATATCAATAAACATGCCCTGGTCAAAGTTTTTTCTTTTGAGAAGAAAAATAATAATAAAATAAATATGATATTAGTTATTTCAATTTTGTTGAAATAATTTCTTCCT